GGGCGTACACAAACACAGAGCGCAGATTAAGAACTGTTTGATTTCCAGACATTTTCCTCGCATTTATACATGGATAGGCATCACAGAAAGCCTGATGCATTATAAAAAGGAAATATTCACATGGGCACGCATATGAAAATTTGAGTTGATTTTATAAAATGAATTGTTGTTTTTTGAAGAAAGATTAATAAATGGTATGCTGATACATTCATTGACGTGTCCCTGTATCATTATGCAAGATTGAGTTCCGACTCATTAGATTTTATCACGAGCTCAGGGCAGAAAACTGCGCAGCACTTTTTTTTGCCTCTCTTCTTCTTAGTTTCAATAATCCCTGGATTTTCAAGGTTGCCAGTTTAGATCCGCATTTGGGTTTGCAGTCTGTCAAAGTATTTGAAAGATGCGGCAAAGGCTAAGGTGGACTTTACCATTGGTTGCTCAGTTGGGTGGTTCAAAATACAACTTTTATTGAAACAGCAGTGGTCGTATTTACTCTGCACGATTTAGGGGATGTTGAATGGTTTGTACTTACTTTTTTTGTGATTGTATACCTTCACTTATTATACTGCTTCAAATTTGGTCTTTCGTAATAAAAAAATAGATTTTTTTTTTACATGAGCATGCTCCAAACTTGCGTTTTAGTGCTCCAAAAGCAAATTTTTGCTGCTCCGAAAATTGCTCCAAATTCTACAAATTCTATTTTTGCTGTTGCACCCCTGCTTGAGGTGGTGCAGGGTTGCTTGACACAGTTGATATACCGTGAGGTTGAGACTTTGTGTGCACTACGTGTTAACAGAAAGCATTGATGTAGTGGCAGGCACGACTAAATAAGAAAAAAAATAGGACTTCAGGCGTAGCGGCATTGCACAAATTTTGTGAAATGGTCTGGAGCCAGATTTTTCGTTCCACTCCCAGTCAAGATTTCGTGTAATCTGCAATCCGACCCCAAAAGGCTTCGATATAAAAGGAAAAATATACACGGGACATATAAGAAAATGTTCGTTGCCGGGGCGATTTTGGACAGCCAATTTTTCCAGATATGCAAGCTTAAGGTGACAAGACATTACTGTACATCTAATGCTACCAGAATGGCCTGATCCGAAGTATTAGTGTTTCATTAATGTTATTTGTTATTCGGATGAAATGAGGTGTGTCCTGATCAAAGGATGGTAGGGTGGATGGTATGTTTGATAGATGGTAATTTAGAAATTTTGATAGTGTCCCCAGTAGGTGTATTGTTGTTGGACATGATAGGTCTGCCTGGAATTTCCGTGGTAAGTAGTTCATCTATGGAAACGTTATAACTCTTTTGTAGGAGATAAGAGTGACCAGCTTGTTTTGGGGCTTGAGAAACTGGTCCTCGGAGGATGTGATTAATTCCCTGGCTAAAAAACCTGTTATGATGTGTTGTAGGCTATTACTTTATTCTTGAGTCAGGTCCGAGGCTAGTTTTCGATTTACGTATTGTTGCTGAGATGTCTAATAGCTTCTATTTTTATATTTCGCTACCGGCCAGATTACTCTACTACCACCCTTGTTTGTTGGTTTTATGAAAATGTCCCGCCTGTTTGAAAGTTGTTTCTAGACATCCTGTTCTGCATAAGTTAAATTATTTGGCTTTCAACTCTGTTTAGTAGTACTCGGGATTTCTCCAGAAACTTGTTTTATGTATATTGATGCAGCTCTTGGCATTAGGTATTCTGTATCTGGAGTCTTGGCTAATGGAGTCATGGCTAACGTCTTTCATGTCTGCCTTACAAAAAAAAATTCCTTTATGGTCAAACATTATATCTTTGTGCAGATCATATGCATTCACTGCGTGGGGCAACGTGTAAGGCCATGCTTCAGCTGATCTATAACATCTGGACTTTGTGATATGTCCACCTCTTGGATTTTGCGTTCTTGGTGTCGCACCGTGGTTGCAGAATTTGGTGCTGTGTTCATTGAACTATATAGGCTTATGTTCATAGCATGCACTTATCCGTCATCAGGAATTCACGTTCTATAAATCTGGCTAGTTCTTCAGTCTCCTCTTCAGATGATAGTTTGGTGCTATTAAGTTCGTGGGCCATTAGAGAAAGCAGATTTCCACAACATCCTTTTAAAATGTCTATTAATGACAAAGATGCACTTTCTAAAATGCTGTTCCATTTCTCTAATAGTTTAGGTCGTAGGGTACCAATAGCACATCGGGCCTTAATTTTAAGATCTTGCAAAATTTCCTTTTCTTTAATGTGTCTAGAGTATTTCTTCAAATGCATTCTGTAAATTGCTTTGCGGTGGCTTTGCAATATTGGAGAAGAGAATGGAATTTACAGTTACCTTCTCTGCTCTAGGTGTTCGTCATTTGTGTTTTGAGTCGGGCAGACCTCTGGAGCACAACGTTTTCAGGTGGTGTTTTGTTTTGTGTTAAAGTTAGGTCCAACCCAATGCATGTTTTCGCAGTGCTTTGCTTGCTAGCGTTTTTATGTCTTTGTAGGGGAACTGTGTGCACACATAGCCTTGAAAGTCGTTGAAAATCCTCGAATTTTTGTCGTGTAAATGCGCATGAACCCTGTGGAAATTACTAGAAGCACTTTCGATTACCCCACAGACAGCAAATACCTTCGTATCCATTGATGTTCAAAGGTAAAAAACTGCTTTTTAAATGTGAATTGTTGTTTGAGTCTTTAAAAGATGTAAAGAGTTTTCAAAATTGTATATTTAGCTAACCCATAGCATGGCCTCAGAGTAGAGGTTGCTGCTGCAATTGCTACATTAAAGTAGTGCCTGCCTCGTGACCCTTGGACACAAGGGTTGTTGACAAGGCATCGTGTTGCTGTCATCTCTCCGTAGTTTTGTAATTATGACCGCTTGTCATTGGTTCTCGTAACACGCGTCATGTCACTGTCGCAAGGAATTTCAGGCCCCTATACAGCCACTTAATACCACCATTTTTCACATTCTTTATCACTTCCTGGCGCTCTTTGATGGCTTTTGCACCAAGAAACACCATATGTCATAGAGTTGAAGTTAGCTTAACAAAAAAGGGCCAACTTTGAAGATACAATGAACCAACTTGCCCAACAAGAAGTTTTCATAAAGATGTTAATTGTTTTTGAAAATATGAAGCTGGCAGTTGGGAATTCGGGCAGGATCAAACAGGACAACTAAATGGAATCTTAGCAGGGTAAGTTCAGTTTCGAAGCCCGGTGCACAAGAATGCGTAGATTGTATATGCAGTAATACCCCGTTAATTCAAACTCGCATATCTAGAAAAATTGGCCAAGTCGAAATTTTCTGTGGCATCGAACATTTTTTTATACATCCCATGTATATTTTTCCCTTTGTCTTGAATTATTTTTGGTCGGATTGTGGATCACCTGAAATCTTGACTGGGAGTGGAACGAAGATTTCGTTGCTAGACCATTTCACAAGAATCGTGCAATGCTGCGGCGCCTGAAGTCCATCGATATTTTTCCTTATTTAGTGGCACCTTGCCACTACATTGATGCTTCCTGCGAACGCGAAGTGCATGAAGTCTCTGCCCAGCGACATATCAACTTTGTCAAGCAACCCTGTGGCATGTTATGTGACACATGCACTGAGGAGGGAAGCCCACGCTTGGCATAGTTTGTAACGTTTGCTTTGTGCAGTGCACATGATTTTCTCTGAGGTGTTATTTCCGTTCATCTGCGCAAACCAAGCAGTTCGGATTTTTCACTGACAGTGAGTAGCAGCAACTTAGTGTGAGTGCGGCAAGCATGGTGTGGAAGCAGTGCATGTCGCCAACACTAGAAAAAAAGGTTGCCCTAATTAAGGCAGCGGAGAAAGGAGGCCGAACAAAATCCAGCATTATGCACTAATTCGACATCCCTTTGTCTAAGCTTTTCACAGTGCTGAAAAACAAGGAGGAGGTGCTGGATTGATTTTGGTAGAGCTTCTCCAGCCAGCAAAAGCGGGTCTGAAGATCGAAGTTCTCAGACAGTTTAAGTGGGTTTGATGGTATAGCTGCCAAGTGCCAAAGGGGCAAACCTTACCTTCACCACAGCAATAAGGATGGAGAAGGTAGATGCTTTGGCCTTGCGAAAATAGGACACACGGACTTCAGCTGCAGCAGTGGCTAGTGCGGCGAAACCGAGCTGATTAAAGTCTCTCATACACAATTTTTTTTCTTTTCTAAGCTTACACAAGAAGAAAGATTAGAAACAACGGCTGAAGAGCTGGTAAATAGTAGGGATTTTTCTGAAAAGCACTCATTTTTTCCTGTGAGTAGTGCAACACTGCTTATCTTGAAAATTCGTTTATCTCAAAATTTTTTCTGGTTTTTACGACTTTGAGTTAATGAAGGTATTACTGTACCTTTTTTTTTTTTGTGAGGATTTGTTTAAAGAAAGCTAATGACTCTTAGGGGGCACCATGGCTGTGAAAATTTTTTTTTGGTGCAAAGATGTGTCACAATGTCTGTGTAATATCCAAAGAAGGTGGGAATTTTCCACGAAAATTCTCTTCAATTTAATGAATGCATATGTATTTCTGAACACATTTCATTAGAAGCATGGATGTGCATTCTTTTTAGTGGCTGTTCCACCACCACTGTGATTTTGGTCCACAGACAGCAAGGGCTTGTCCAATTATCATCTTTCACTATCAGGAGATGCTTGCTCAAGACGTTACAGTGTACATGGCCCTCTTTCCCACTCCTTGCTATGCCTTACCCTCTCTTCCCCTTTCCACCCAATTGGTTTTGGCTTTGTGGGCTCCTGCTCTTTCTTTTGTTTCGCTCTTATGAGTACTACTAATTCAAAATGTATGTCTGTTCGTTGATTTTGAATAATTTAAGCTTGTGCCAAAGGAAATCGATGTACTGTGATATTTGTACACAGCTTAGACATAAGACATTATTGTTTTTATAACTGTGCTGACATTCGATTGCTTGCTTTTTTGTGGATGGAGTCAGCAGTGTGACAAAAGCTTGGTCGTGCCACTGCACAGCCTTTCACGGTCCTTGTTCTGTGCAGCAGAAGCGCAAGTGCACGAGGCGCGAAATGGCCGAGCTGAAGGTGAAGCGGCAGGCATGCCTCGACCAGATTGCTGCTTGTCTGGAGGAGGACAGGTAAGAGTGGTGGCACTGAAAGGAAACAAATCTCGAGAGACAGAATCAGGACTTGCTGCTGCAGCATTCTTACCAGCTTGTCTTCAGATTATCTTCATCAAAGAAAAAGTTGAATCCATGTGTCAACATTTTAAGTTCACAGGAGCAATTTGCTTACTGTTTGCTGGTTTTAAAAGTGTGTGTGTGTGGCCTGTTTTGTAGCTTAAGCAAAAGTATTGCGTTGTTTCTACATGTTCTTAGAAAAGATTTATGCTTCAAATAATAGTGTAATCAAAAGCAGTGCATGTCTCAATTTTATCCCTTTAAATCTCCCACCGGATGTATTGGCCATATTTGTGTTTTTTTTTGTTCAAAAGCTCTTGATTTCATGCTTCGCTTTTATAAAATTGAGATATCTTGTCAATTGCAATAATAGAAATTACTAGCTTAAATGAGTAGTATGCACTCAACGCTTGGTAAAGATTTTTTCAGAAGGTTACAAACATGGCTTAAATCAAACAAAATGAAGCGGACATTTGCTTGCAACGAGTCTTGACTGGTATTGTATCAGTGCTGTGATATTTTCTGGAATGGGAGGGGTGCATCAATTGCACTGTTTTTCTCCAAACTGCCCTTGCTGTGCCAAAATGACGTTTTAATACAATTATTCGCGAAATCCAGAAGATCATAGTTTCTGTTCAGGCATCATTATGCTCACATACACTGGTGATGGGAATAAACGGAAACATTGTGGTGTGTTGTTGTTCCCTATTCCTTTTCATGCGGCTGTAGCCTAGTTCGAACTCAGATTTGTCAAACCTTGATGTTTTAAATTATTGCCTATGTCAAAGAGATAAGAAATGCTCTTGCATTTCCCATGCAAAAGCATAGGGGTGGTGCACATTTACATCAAACTCCTGCATAGGGAACTATCCACTATATAGAATGCTGAACCATGCCTAAACTGAGAAAGTGCATTCTTTCTAAAACACACCGTATTTATTTGCGTAATGAATGCACTCGCATAATAAACGCACCCCCAACTGCAGTCGTCAAAATATAGACTTTTTTTGCCTCCCGCGTATAAACTCACCCCTACATTCGTCCACTGCAGTCCCACTAACTGACACATGGCCCTCCTTGCCCTTTGTATCTCTTCTGTTCCTTTATTATGGCGCCGACCCCCCCCCCCCCCCCCCCCCTCGGGCACATCTGCTCGCTCCCTCCTCTGCTTCGTCCGCTGCCATGCGCCGTAGTGTTTTTCTATCTGTACGTGGCACGTACCCAGTCTTTCTTAGTTATCTATGTTCCACAGTGGGGTTCATGAACAGTGCGAGTGTAGAGGACATCACAGCTGATAAGCCCACAGCGAGCGAAGGTCACAAAACTGCCCACGCAAGCACGCGGTCGCTTCCTGAAAAAACGAAACTTTAGGGCCCAACCACATGCACGCAATTTTCAAGTGTCGAGAGGATTCGCTATCGCCATGGCTGTCGAGAAGGGCCAAAGGTTTCTGCAAAAGTTTTGGAAAATCAGAAAAAAAAAAATCGCTTGTCGCTCAGAAAACATCGCGACTATTTCCGCAACATAGTAGCATCCCCGATTCTCACTTCGGTTGCAATTTGCTCTTCGTACTTGTTATCACTGCATACTTCAGGGAACGCAAGATATAGGCTACCTTTTATACAGTAACTTCTCATGTGGACAGCGAGGCGGTGGCCGTATTTTGTCATTAATCTTGTTATGGACGGTTTGTCTTGATGCGTTGGTGGTAGTTTGCTGCAATGTTGGTTACTTGCTACAGTGTCAACAGCATCGTTGCGGTCGTCGTGCGAGAGTGCCGCGAAGTTGGCACATTGCATCGTAGCACACGCTTTGGGGGCTCTTCAAGATAACAGCGGATACCACTGTTGCGGTTATATGATTGCGAGAAAAGAAAGCCACGAAATGCTTTTATGGCGTGAACGGGCAGCGCAAGGACAGCTTGCAGAAGAAAGCGCCATCAACCACCGAAGATGAGTGAAATGCTACAAAGAAGATGTTTCCAAACAGTGTATCCGTATGTCAATTATGAAAGGCTGAGAGACCTAACTTTTTTTTTTTTTGCATAACCGCATTTTTCGCTCATCCCGAAAAAGGTTTCATAAAATTTGCCCCTCATAATAAATGCACCCCAAGCTTTGCTCCGATTTTTCGAGAAAACAAGTGCGTTCAATACGCAAGTAAATACAGTATTCATCGGTTCTTGGCGGCGTTCTAACAAGTTTCGATTCCTAATAGCATCCAGGTGATGAAAAGGCTGATCTGGTTTGTTATGCAGTGCTTAATAATGTGCTGGTAGGATAGTTGTGAGATCTGCAGGTCTCAAAGGCCAACTCTGGCGATCTTTTTACCATGTGAAGGTAATCGTACTTTCATGTTCCTGAGATACGCTTGTCACAGGCACGATAGCTGAAATTCTCAGTTACTACAACAATAATCTTTAATAAGCAAAAAAATGTAATAGCAAAACCGATACCCAACCGAGTTTGCTGTCTAGTATCACGTAGTGCTTTGTCAGAATTGGAAATTCTTGCAAGGCATTTCGATCGCACCAGTGCAAAGTACGAAAATTGCGATAGCCGAGAAGAGCAGACGCTCCACAAACTGCGCTGCAACATGTCTGTGACTGATTTTTCGAGGTGCACAAGCTCCTTGGTGCTGTCAGACGACAGCTATAATTTGGACGCATTTGAAGGTTAACAAACATCGCCGTTTCTTTTCGATGAAGCAGTACCGATTTTCACTTTTGCTTGCGTGGTTGCGCATAACGCAGACAGATGGCACCACTTGTCCAGGTTGTCCTAAGGTACCTTGATAGAGGTACCTTAGGACAACCTAAAATACCTGCGACACCCTCCTTTCTCCTCCTCGCTTATTTGCCTAGAGTGTCCTCTAAAAAGTTCAAAACTTTCGTAAAAAAAGAAAATACTTTGGTTCAGTTGGTACGGGGAATAGATGTAAATCAAACAAGATGGAAGAAAATTGGTCGTAGAATAAACAGTTATCTATACGAACATAAACGGTACAACACAAGAGCAAGCGGATCAAACAAAATGGAAGAAAATTGGTCGTAGAATAAAGTTATTTATACGAACATAAACGGTACAACACAAGAGCAAGCGGGATGTGTGTTACTCAACTGGCAACATGGTGCAGTTCTATGTTTCAGACCACTAGCCATGGCGTCTCCCATCGTACATCGTAGTTCGTCCAGTTCTCCACATGTGTTTTGCTCATGCTTACGCTACGACATAGTGATTGCGCTTCTTGCTGAATCCTGTCAGTGCCCACAGGGCGTGACGTTATAACGAGTGATTACAGCCGGCTTGTGCACACGCAAGGGCAAAACACGGCCAGGCTGGTACGAACGCTTGACTAGCAGCACTGTGATGACAGCTTTTTTTCTTTCTGTAAAAATACGCCCGTTTTGACAATTGTGATGCCAAGTAATTCTGGTGAGTTGCACGGAACTTCACAAAAAGTGAGAGTTCTACCAGTGGGGTGTCCCACAGCAGCGCATTTCAGCTCCTTAATGCCACATTCTAGCGAAAGTGGCTAGAACTGGTCAAGCGGGAAATGTTCCTGAAAGTGCATTCATCAAACCCTCCAGCTGTACTGTATGTGCATATGCACAAATATTTGTAACAACGGGCATCTACTAGACGTGCATTAGACGCGCTCCTGGTGTTTCAACAAAAACCGACAAAGAAACTTTCTTTGCGGAGACGTCGACAACGTTGCATGAAAGTATTCACGTGAAACTTTTTGATAGTTACACTTCACGGTGTGCATCATTTTGGATAGAACGAGGTACGTTGAGGAAAGTAAAACGGTTCTCTGTTATTTTAGTGCAACCTAGCATTGTTGAAAAACTCGGATGTTCAATTGAAAATGGACTGCGAAGCAATTTGGCCGACTTGGTGCTAACAGGAATGCTCCTCCTCTGCAGTTTGTGTTGGCTACGATTTCGTCACGGCAAGAATCCGGCTGGAGCCATATGCGAACCTTTTGCTTAATTATAAATAACACCTTCATGTTTCGGCTCTGTAGTCACTACCTGGGCCATATTCATTTGCAACTTCCAGTGTCTCTCCACCTTTCGCAAAGTGCCGTTTTCTGCTGAGGCTGAAGCACATTACTTTAGTTTTCTGTATAGTAATCTTTAGACCTACCTTCCTGCTTTCCATGTCGAGTTCAGTAATCATTAGCAGTAATTTGTCCCCCGAGTTATGCATCAAGACAATGTCATCAGTGAATGAAAGATAAATAACTTGAAGAATAAGGAAGGGGCGGATCACATTCGGCAAACATTCTAAAATTATGAATGGTAATCTGCCGCTAACTTTCAAGAGGAAGGTATATAAAAGCGGCATCTTGCCAGTACTTACCTAGGGAGCAGAAACCTGAAGGCTTACAAAGAGGGTTCAGTTTAAATTGAGGATGACGCAGCAAGCGATGGAATGGAAAATGATACGTGTAACCTTAAGAGACAAGGATAGAGCAGAGTGGGTCAGGGAACAAACCGGGGTTGAGGATATCATAGTTAAAATCAAGAACAGGAAATAGACATGGGCCGGGCATGTAGCACGTAGGCAAGATAACCGCTGGTCATTAAGGGTAACTGACTGGATTCCTAAAGAAGGCAAACACATGAAGGAAAGACAAAAATTTAGGTGGGCCGATGAGATTGAGAAGTTCACAGGTATAAATTGGCAGCGCAAAGTACAAGACCGGGTTGATTGAAGAATCATGCTGGAGAGGCTTTGCCCTGCAGTGGGTGTAGTAAAACTGATGATGATGATGATTAAATAAGACCACCAGCCATTTACAGCATCTGTGGGAATTGAGGCTAGCCCGTTGCCAATGCGCGGGCTTTGTCGTCTATTTCTGCGCTTTCATGTTCTAACATGGCTCTCCCCTCCTCCACGTCCGTCAGCTCTGGGGTGCGGAAGTGACGTTGACCCCTCTGGCCTGGATGT